AATAACCACATATAATTTTATGCATTACCTCTTTATTATCTTGTTTATTGCATGTTGTACTCACATGTACTCTGTCTCTTACTGATAACACCGCTTCACCTGTAGTTTTCAATGTAACCTCAGCCCGTCCGAAACCTCGTCCTGTTCCTCTTCCTCTCGATGCACCTCTATAACCTCTTCCTCGCGGTATGTTCCTTTTTGGTTCCTTACAATCTGCCGCAATGTGATTGAGTCCTTGACAGTTAAAACATTTTTGTCTATTCCGGCATTCGCTTGAAATGTGTCCCTTTATTCCGCAATTATAACATACGGATATCACCTTTTGATTTTTCTCTCGCTTTCCTTACATACTCATCTCTTGATGTTTTTTCTTCTTTTCGTTTATATCTTCTTGATTCTTCTTGTTTTAGCGCGTAACGTATATCATTAATTGTTATCTCCTTTTGAGTTTCTAATACTCGTACATTTTGGTCAAATTCGGGCCTTAATCCTCTAATGATGTACATCCTCAATTCATAATCTTCTATTACTCTACCAAGTTGTACGCACTGATTTCGTAATGCTTCAGCTCTGTTTATGTATGCGTCTATACTTTCATCCTTTTTCATTCGCAGGTTTGATAATTCACATAGTGATCTTGCCTTTAATTGTTCCGTTTCTGCTGCCATATTATTCTTAATCAAGTTCCACAGTTTATCCGCGCTTTTTTCATGGCTATATTTCAACAACTGCGCTTTACTCATAGTGTTTATAATTACTGTTCGTGCTGCGTAATTATCATCGTCCCATTCATTCCATTGCCGGAATTTCACATCATAGTTATTTACGCCTTCTTCGGGCTTCTCTGGCGGCTTCACATTTATTACTTTTTTCCAAAGTTTCTTAGTTCTTAAGATTCCTTCAATTTTTTCGCTCCATAAGAAATAGTTTGTATCATCAAGTTGTTCCACGCTCGTAAGATTCCAATTCTCTGCCATCCTCTTTTTTTTTTATTTATCACGCAAGTTTCTCAACACACGACAGCCTCAAGAAAGAGGTTAAAACGAACCACGGTCCTCTGCTACCAATTGTGGGAGTTGAAGCTGTTTGATGGAATAAAATAGTAACACTTGGATGATATCAAACTCACAATATATTTTTGTGATAATGAATACAATTCTCTCTTTACTGTCTCAGATAATAATAAGAACATAAAACAAGGTGTGTTACTCAGATGGCTCAAAAAATGCAAGCTCCATTCTTAGTGCTGCCCTCCATCCTATACCATACTGCCATCTATTAGATAAAACATAAAAATAAAAACAATATTCCACAGTATATTGTTCTCATATCGAGAAACATTTACTTACATATAGGAATTATTGGAGAGAAAGAAAGAGAGAAAAAATATCAGGTCGCGAGTGGCTAAGCCGGGAATTGAACCCGGGTCTTCCGCTTGCCGGGCGAATGTTCTGACCACTAAACTACTCAGACCCCACGATTCTAACATTTATCTCTCATATATTAGGAAATCAACAATTCTGTAGGACAAACGCGTCATGACGCCCGCGTAATTTAAACACATATAATGTAAAGGCTCTATAAATTCAACAAATATAATAGAAGAGGCAAATCTTTTGAACGCGCAATCCTATTTTCTCTGCTTTCTGAATGATTTCAAGAATTATATTTTTATACACGGAACCGTTTGTATTTTTGGCTGTATAATAATAAGCCACAGTTTGTTTCCACCTGTGCTCTATGCTTGCTAGCATAAAAACTAAGCCATTGGTCGCAATTTCGTTGTTATTATGCTCGGGTAAAGTTACGCGCCCTGCATATGTATTAGTGGATATGTCGAAAACGGTACCTGCTGATATATTTATTTCATCAAGCACAAGTAAACAATCTTTATCTCTATCATTTTTCAATTGCGAGACTTTAATTTGTAAAAAATCGAAAACTTCATGAAAAATTCTACTCTGAAATTTTAAATTTTCAAATTTTTGATTGAGTGTTTGCAATGAAGGAAGTGGAAAACCGTGCTTTAATAGTTCTTTGTAGCCAGATAACCCGCATGAAAATTTCAATTGATAGGCTTTGACTAAAGTGGAATCGCACCATTTTGGCATTCTTTTATACCTACACCCCAACTTTTTTATTTGATCATCATTAAACATATTCTTTAATGCACTCGAAAAATGTTTTTGTATACCTACTTCTTGTTGCAATTTTGTTATTTTTTTCCTGTATTCTCTTTGTAGGCGTTTGTGCTTCTTCTTCATTGCAAACCTCAATCTTTCTGACTTTTGCAACTTTTTTTGCAGTTGTTCAATGATTTCGGAATTGCCTGAAGTAATTGACCCATCTTCAGTTTCTCCCTTGGTTTCATCCGTTACAACGTGATCCTCTTCATATAAGATTTCGTTACTGGTAGTATCTGGATCATAATTTTCAAAGTTACGAGTTTATGTGTTGGGTGTTGTCTTATCGGAAATATTTGTTACTGGATTTCTTGCAATTTCGGGTTCGCTTTGTAATATTTTCACTTCTTTATTTGCCGATACGGTAAATACCGATATAACTTCTTCAATTTCAGTAGACACTGTTGGCACTAAAAAGAAATAATATTTTACACAATTCTGTTAAAAATTTTAGTCTTAATTAGAGAGGGAGAGAGAAAGGTTGTAGGAAGTTTTCGTAAACAAAAATGTAAAAACTTGATCACATACTCTATACATACTACTGTACTAAATCGACTATATAAAGACCACTAATTTTTCTTCCTACACGTAAAAATATATATTCATTTCATTTCTTTAAATATATTATCCGCTAATAAATCGATTAGCTTTCTGGGGTACACGATCAGTGATCGAAGATCTAAAACTTCTATGTGTATTCATAATTACTAAAATACCAATTTTAAACACTTAAAATGCTTAATTGTCTATTCAGAATATTTTTACAATGGTCACATGTGCTGCAAAAGGCTGCAGAAATTCAAACGAAAATTACACATTTTTGAACCATTTGCGTTTGAATTTCTGCAGCCTTTTGCAGCACACGTGACCATTGTAAAAATATTCTGAATAGACAATTAAGCATTTTAAGTGTTTAAAATTGGTATTTTAGTAATTATGAATAATTATAAAAACAATAACTTACCTTACTTAATAATTTACTTAATATTACTATCTTGCTTAATAACTTACTTATAATTTAAAAAACGTAACTATTTGACTTTACATGAATCATGAATATAAATTTCACAAAAGTAAGGTTATGCCCATGCGTGTCAAGTACTCAGAAGGCCTCGCTGCCGGAAACTGATCGTAAAATGGCGAAACCAATCAAAGAGAAGAACCAGCATTGACTTCACTCTCCTTTTACCCACTCTATTCGGACTCGGGCCGTCACTCCTGTCGACCCTTAACTGTTTTTCTTCTCGTCTTCAATAAATAAAATGCATCTTTAGCTTCTTTAAGGGGGGAGCCTCGTATGAATCGCTAAAACAAAGATGATTTTTAGGAATTTTTTTTGAAGAAATAATGCAACGG